ATTTTATCTTGAGAATCTAAACTCATATTTGGTTCTCGAGATGTCAAAAAGGCACGTTACTGTCCTATAAACCGCAGCAATCAACATTTGTGAATTCACCCATTTACGCTGATCATCATTAGCCAGCCTTCCTCCGATGGCCTTAGCTACATGTAAAGGGTGATTCTGCGAGATGCTACTGACTTTCGTCGGGATAATAATAATGTATATTTTCATATAAACATAAATTTACATGAAAATGCATGCCATTTTTACGGGCACGATTAAGCATGATATAATGTCAAATAGTAGATTGTCTACAAGTTAATTATGTTTCAACAGCTAAATATTTGATATATACATTAATACACTCATTGTCTGACCCAGGCCGTATGATTATCGAATTGTACAGTAGTCCTCCAGGTTGCGCAGGAATTCGACTTCCTTTCGTTTTCAACCCGTGGTTGTAGGCATACGATAACCAACCAATACTGAGGTAAGTACAACGTTTACAAGGGATAATAAGCTGTTTTAGAAAAGTAAAAGTGCTAAGGTGAATCATTAAAGTGTAATGAAATAGGTAAGTGCAGTGTATCATTAATCGATGTACTCATAAAGGAAATACAATGGGAGACTATAATCCCTAGGCTGAGAAGTTCATTTGCAATATATAATGCTACCCATATAGGTCTTACTATCATGATTTCCACTTTTGGTTTTAATAAAGTTATACACAAGCCGGTTGTTTTTGTTTCACACCTTTTTGTGCATTTGGTGCACAACCGTACCCTATAGAGAATAGGAATAAAATAAGTCCAATCAAATTCATAAAGAGCTATAAAATGTTAGGTTTGACGGAGTATAATGAGCAAGTAAAGATGTTATTAGAAAATGAATGAGATGAGACATTGTGAAGTGGTACTCAAAGATCTGACAAAGGAAAGCAAGTAAATTTATAAGACGCCCCATAAATCTGTGCAGAGCCCGCGTGGTCGCATCTCAACAATAGGCTGAGCGAATGTTATATGTTTAAAGGTAGAATCATGATCTGTTTAAGCAATCATTATTATCTTTTTCAAGATAAAGATCCAAGCCCTCAAAGAAATCTCGAGCCGTTAAATTGCATATTGCTGTTCCTGCAGAATGGGGCGATTCACCTTAGTGACCACCACCATATCTACTGATCAGCATGCGCCACCCTCCCTCCCTTTATGATGTTAGGCTCTGATTGTTACGGCTACAGCACATACATTGCTTGGTGCCAGACACGTTCATACCTCACATTCCATTTCCCTAGATTTCTTAGTGAGTGCTTCCAATAGATCTCCACATACAGATTTATGAACATATCATATATGTGTGCATGCGTCCTAATGAACAGATTAGTTTATAGGATGTTAAAACCTTAAAGAGCAAAAAGAATAGGTTTTGTGAATAGTGGAGCAAGATTCAGCAGAACACTATAGTTAGGGTTCAATATAGGTAGTATGAACTGAAGGTAAGGTCGGTTGGCAGGACTTATTGTACTAAATTATCATGAAAGTCTTTTATATAGTAAACATTTGACATTGCAAAGTAACCTGTCTACACATATTATAAAACGATATTAACACAGAACCAACAGAATTTTAACATTTGGTTAACAATACTGCAGTGTGTGAATACTGAAGAAGGGTAGTTAGTCTTAAAGGGAGCCGTAAATTAAATCAAACTATATATGATAAGAGTATAATCAATATTAAAATTCGAATTATCAAAGAATACATTAAGCTCAGTAATTGAGTGTTATAGGGGAAACAAGCGTGGTAATGCAAGAGAACATTTGCTGTATAAATATTTTAATCATTTGAAGTATTGTAATGACAATTAAATGTCAAGAATTGATCATGCATAATTACTCAGTATTATTATATTAGTATTGGGGCTAGTGTGCTTTCTGTAGTTAAATATTGAAATGTCATTGTTTCACCACTCTACCAGCAGTTGTGATCTTTTAGACGGGCTAGGGTGGACATGTTAATATGTTTTTCTAGGCTCCTTTTGAAACTATCAGGCTTTTCACAGGATCTAATCTCGGAGGGTAATTGGTTCCAAGGTTTGCAATATTTACTAGCGAAAACGTTAGCTCCAGTGGTGAGTTTATGGGTGTTAGCCTTGAGAAGGTGGTCATGGTTGTCACGGTTAATCAAACGCTAATCCTTTTTCTTCAGTAGTACCTGTTTACTATGATAGTTTATAGCTCAGTACAGAAAAGACTACATTTCCTAGGAGTCTATGAGTCGGTCGCCACTGCATGGATCATAATTCATGGAGCATGTACTCAGGAGAGCGCCTGTGACGTTGCTGAGTTGTGTAGTGTCTCCTGTATTCGAAAAAATCATTGTTTCACACTGTAACTGAACGCCAGATGGCAATTAACAAGTGCCATGAGTCTCGTCCTACGCTTGGTGCAGAATGAATTCTACCAGTCGATCTTGCAATATGGCCACCATGTTAGGCACCTTGTCATCAAGGTGTGCTCGGAATCCTCGCGCTTAGGCAGCTGGAGGTACGACATCTAGGCTCAAGGCCTCCTGCCAATAGCCTCCAGCTACTCGTTCATGACAGTGCTGCCTAACGTCAGCCTGCACCAAATATAGGACAAATCGCATGACACTAGTTAATTGCTGCCTAATGTTCAATCAAAGCATATGATACAGTTCTACAGGAGGTCAATCGACAGTCCGAATAGCTCGGTGGTAACGTCTCTGGCTGCATCATTGAGTGACCCGGGTTCGAATATCAGAGGGGAAGTGAGTTCCTTCAAGGTTGCACATACTGCTTGCTGATTGGTGAGTGCCAACAAGCATGAATGTTGGGTTGAGGCTTACTAATGATCGTCCTCAACTATCTATTAATAATCACTTTTCACATCCAATACCTTGATGTGCTCAAGCAGAAACGTAGCTTATCAGCCTTACGGTTCGTGGTAATAACTAAGGTGAAATACTAAATCTGCTGGAGTGATTAGGTGATCCCAGTGCATCTCCTAATCCAATAGTAATGGGAACCATTCTCTTAATTTTCACCAGATGGCTGGGTGCAAGAAAGGAGAGGAGTCACGTGTTTTGCCCTACTATTCACCGTGAGAGTGGCTGTGCAGCTATCAACGGGGGCCCTTGTCGTTACCGATAATATAAATTTACTTTTCAATAATAAAATCATTTAGTACTCAAGAAAGTGAAGCAAGGATAGTTTTCGAGAAAACTGTGTCTGATATATGTGCAAAATTACTGGATAGAGTGCTGCCAACCATTCAAGGCTCAATAAGCCTGCTATATTTGTGTCGTCTGCCGTAGCAGATTACGGAGTCATATGCTCGGGATGGTTTACTGGCGTTTCAAATAGAGTATGGGGAAAATTGGCCAGATAGCAATAGGGTCGGTTTGAGAGCACACGTGCTATACACAGTAAGCAATTTATGTTTGAAAACTCGGAATGAGAATGTATAAAAACTCTATTTGACTGCTGTAAACGATAAGCTGTAATGACCGCGACACGAGAAATCAGTCATCAACTGTGACACATAATCCTAATAATGTTATGCTGTGCCTTCGTATTGAAATCCTGGTTCGAAAACATTTACCGACGTATTAACCTTTTAGACAATAAACATTCACTGTTTTGTGTTTTTAAACTAAGTTGTATCACGGGCTCCCCGTTTTCAAGCCTAAGTACCTTATTTTGGATTGCATGCACCGGCACAGATAAACACAGTGAGATAACGGCAATAGACAACCTGTTCTCAATACTAGCTCCACACTCTTGTTTCTGCGAAAACCACTTTTATTTGGAATTCCGCAGTAGAATTAAAAGTGATTTTGAGTGAGAAAGACAAATAATTGTAGGTTCACCAGTTCCAGGGGAATGAAACTCATCTACTAATAAAATGCAATGTTAACGTACAGACTCCATGTGCTGTATGAGGACGACGCTCAGTAAAGTTAATCAATAGGGATCCCATTTACTCAACTTTTTGTTTCTCGATAGGTAGAGAGTCTAAGGTAATGATGGCATGTTTAATGCCAGAAAACTCCCTTATTCTCTTGCTTCTAGCAGCTCGAGTAAATTTTTTAAAAGATAACCAGCTCAAATCACAAATCTCATCCGATTTTCAAAATATCTGGACTTCTATGCAGTTATGTTTTGAATTATATCAGCAAAGACACTAGCCAAAGAGATCATTTGGGTTTCCAAGCGAACCTGCTGGAAAAAGTACTTATCGCAAACTGCGAGTATAAACTGGGTAACGTTCCTGAGACCACGTTTGGTAAATTAAATAATCGAATTAAAAAGTTGATCGGAACTTTCCTGACTTTTACAGAATTTCAAGAAGAAACTCGTAACAAGCACGACACAACTGACTTCATGGAAAACAGTACTCACTGGTTTTGTCCTACAGTTCTTAACACGACCAAAAAGTATAGACCCCTCAGTCGAAATTCTCAAGATATTTGGTGGTAGATGGATTAAAATCAACTTCATGCTCCTTCTTGAATCTGGATATCATCCAATTCGTTGTATTTTGGCATAGTAGACATGTGATTAAACGTAAACTCATCACCACATCTTCACCGAATCTATTATCGCGCGCTCCCTTAGTACGACGTGCTTTTCCCAATCCAAACGGAAAATACCTATTTTGTGAATTATCCGCTTGGGAAACCTGATCTTCCTAGCCGGTGAATTAAATTCAACCATCGCTTACATATCAAATCTCTCTTTGGTAAATGAAGCTGTCTGGAACTACTGCTAAAGCTTCAGTTGCTACTTCTGTAACATCTTCCTCACTCGCTCAGATAAAAAAGACTCGCTGGTCTACCATGTGATTGCTATGAAGCCGATTAACCAGAAAGTACTAGGTAAAGTCGAAGACCTTTTCTTTTCCTTATCTTGTATTTTGTCAGTCTTATTCCTGTTCTTTTGGGTAGATAATGTTGCTCTCTTATTCTTATAAAGCATAAGTTATAGTGATTGTTAATATGACTGTTGAAAGTAACCTTAGAAAATGCACTAAAACACCATATTCTGTAGTCACGAGAGGACGCAATAACTCAGGAACATCAACCCCATCTCGCATACCGATTCTAAACACTCGTGTACATCTCGCCTGTTCCGATACTACGCCTACATTGCCACAGTCTAGCACTGAAACGGCAGAAGCAGTACCAGGTGGACATGATACTACACCTGTAGCTATTGGAAGCCAGTGCGCGACACACAGCAAAACAAAGAAGAAACACTCAAGACGTCATAAGACCTCGGAAGCGTCATCTGGAAAAGGAGACGACTGTCAGGCCTGTAGTGTTATCGTTTCTAAAACGGATTCAGCATATGAATGCAATTTTCGCGAACGATTGGTACACTGCCGTTGTGACAATGGTGCACCAAAACCATACTATTAGTTTATGCGAGATAACCCGTGCACATGGTTCTGGTACATCTGTCCACTTTGTCGCCCTGGCACAGTCTCACACAGAGTGCCTGTGGATAACAGAAACAGCACGCAGCCCTTGTGTCTCGACACAGTCTCATGCAGCTCTCCACCTGCTAACAGCACACTACCAAAACTTGGTAAAAACAGTAAGAAGGATACTTCAGCCCAACCGACTGGGAATACCAATCTCCATAAAGTGAAGACACTCAAGGTTGCACCTACAACATCAGGGGAAGATGGAATGGCCAAAGCACCACTTGCATCCACTAGCAAGCTAGGCACCACAGTAAAGGCTGGTCAGAACCTGATGAAGTCCAAAGTTACTGACCCTACAAAGGAATACGAGCAGCCAAAAGCCAAACCTAAGTCTGAGGTCAGTCCAAGTTTCATACTTATATCTGAGGTCAGTCGATCAAATTCCTTTATCCTGTTTTATGTACCCGTTTGCAAGGATAGCTTGCTTGAACAACGTGCCCTGTTTGATCAGGAACAGTTTTCCAATTTGTGCAATAAATTAGGTCTGAACATCAGTTCGAGGAAACTTTGCAGGCTGTACAGGGGTGTCCATGCACCTCAGGGTAAGCCACCTCCATTGAGGGTTACGCTGGGCTCTGCCAAAGAGGCTGAAAGGATACTATTGCTGGCTCAAGTACCAGCTATCGACTAGAGTTCCAGCATGAGAGTGGACGTGATAGGCCATGGGCTAGCAAGCAAATGGTGCGGGAGTCACCGGAACTGATGCTTTCTACCCCTATGCTCATACAAGGGTGTTCCGGAGCTGGAAAACACACGTGAAAAACACATACATTTCGTACAGCAATGGAGATAGCTGTCATCTCAGATGGCCTCTGGAGCTTCTGGAGTAATCTCCATTTTCCGGCTACCTCGCACAGCTCATCTCACACCAATCAGCTCCCCAAGGCTGCTCCAAGGTACAGTTCACCCTAGTACTTCAACGGTGGTACGATACCAAGGGTGGAATAGAAGGACACATCCGATGCTGCCGAAGCAGACCTCGAACCATAAGGAGGCAGCAAACTGAGGCCTTAATACGTCCCAAGCCTCAGTGACACTACGGCGATGCGGTACTGAGAATAACAGTCAGTGTCACCCAAGTGTCCTACCAAAATCCAAGGGAAAACAGGCAACGGGCCGGTTACATCGGAATCGGCCAACCAGTTCTAGTAATAAGTCCTCTACCCTCAGACAATGTAACGTCAACTACTCCACAATACTCTGAGGTTGTGAGGCTCACTGTCAGCCGCCTTTATAGCAATGTGAGAGGGCTGAGAGGAAAACTAGTTGAACTCAGAAACCTCCAGTCACACCTACACCTTAAAATAATCATCCTCACTGAAACCTCGCTAAACCCCACTATCGCCGACAACAAAATCAGTATAGGTGATATGGTTCTGGTCAGGAGAGACAGGGATAACAAGGTAGGCAGGAGTTACTATATACTTTGACAAGCAACTTTAACGTGTACGTGCAATGGACCCACCACTTATTGAACTCCCAGACTCCATATGGTTTCATTTCACCATAGGCCACACCAAGCATTTACTGAGTGCCACCTACCGATCACCCACCTGTGGGGCAGAGCACAACCAGCTACTGCTCAGCACCATCACAGGGATACTGGGACTTGGGCTATGACCAAGTCACCATAGCTGGAGATTTCAATGCCCCATCACTGAACCTTGGCCCGGGGTATGCTCAAGGAAAATTCGGTGGAAATCTACTGCAAACGATTAGAAATACAGGACTGACTGAGAATGCTGGGGACTACACAAGGTGGGGCCTTAGTGGAAAGTCATCGAAATTAGACTACATTCTAACTAGTGACCAACTACTTGTCGAAAAGGTCCAAATCATGACTCCTCTAGGAAGTAGTGACCATGAAGTCATAGGTTTCGATTTTGTTCTCCGTGAGCACTTGCAGTGGGACGTTACGCGACCATGTCTGTGTCGGATGCATAATGGTCCTTAGCATGCGATGAGTTATCTGTGGATGAACACTAGGAGGAGGTAAAAACATTATTCACACAGCAATCTCGGATACCATCCCTTTCAGTCACGACACAGTCCAAAAATGTCATCATGGCTGCAAGCAACGTATTCTGCAAGCAAAGCGGAAGGCTTTGTTTACGTGGCGGGTATCCAAGAGTCAGACTGACCACGACGCACAACTGGATCTCAGGAACCGGTGCAACGCAAGAGTCAGCAGTGACAGAAGGTCATTTCAAGCTAACCTTGCCAAAAACTTTTGGCGAACCCCGAACACTTGTACCGATTCATGTCGTAAAGAAAACCAGCCAACCAGGGGGCATGCGCCTCAGTAGGTCCAAACTGTCAATACCTCACTAGTCTGGAGATGGCAAGTTACACCCTGTGCAATGAAAGCTTGTCCTGCACAACGTCGGAGCACGACTTAGGTCTAGTTCTAACGGAAAAAGTGGGCGCAAGCGTAAATTACATGGGGGACATATCGAGGGCAATGCAATCATACACTTTACACATAGACAGTTAGGTGCACTCACTCCTGAGCCCTTTCTAAGGTTGTACAAAACATACGTCAGACCACACCTTGAAGTACACAACATCACAACATCAATGACGGGTCTCTGAAACAAACCATGAGATGAACTGCAAAAGAAATCAGGCCTATTCATACTATGCTACCATTGGCTTAGAGGGGACTTGATTACTACCCATAGGATTACAAATGTTCAGAACCACTCAAACGACAGTGTTCTACCATTGAGTACATATGGGCTTCCTCGTGGAAATCCCGAAGGATAGCTCACCAGAGGGCAAAGAATCGAGTGCGCTCCCATTTCTTTTCAATGCAGGTTCGCCATCCCTGGAATTCCTCACCGGTAAACGTGGCCACAGCACCGTCCGTGGACACCTTTAAGCGAAGGCTAAACAATAATGCACAGATATAAGGGCTACGTCCACATAGCCTATTTCCTTAAAATCTCTTACACTATAATGGGTAGATATCTAAGTTCATCCTTTTACTTCTTTACATTCTGCCCTGTCTTACTCTCCTGACTACTCCAAACATTACGTCAAACATTACAACAACGGAGGACTAACTAGTTGAAGGATCAACTCCATTCACAGTAGTAACAGTCTTAGCACACCACACACTACAAAACAACATATAATCAATCCCAGCACAACTCTTTTGGAGTCAACCAAAGCTACGATAGTTGAGTGGCAGGACGAGCTACGCAGGCATTTACCGAAGATCAGGAACCTTCATCTCGCAATCAAGAGGTGAGCACAAAGAAATCAAATTGGTTTATACTAGCTCGTAAAAACGATATTGGATACTGGATCAGATAGTTGCACCGAAAAATCTGTATGGTATCCTAATCATTTGACAGAAAATAAAAAAATTCGTTTGTAATTTTATCCATAAACCAATTTCTTGAAAAACGTAAATTTTTAGTTTCTTATCCCTGTGATTGTGACCTAACCAGTGTATGCAACAAAGTCATAACCGCCAGATATGAATTCTAGGCGTACTGTGCTTTCGTCCTTGACAAAACGTGTTAGCCAAATACGTAATGTTTGTATATTGGCTCATGTTGATCATGGTGAGTGCCCAAAAAATTTCATTTCGCCATACTGAGACAACGGTCTGTTTATTTTTAAGAAGAACTGACTTGTAAAACCGACTATACAAAAATAATTGCCTAATAAACTCAAGTGTAATCACAGATATATGGCTTAACGGTGTTGTGGGATTTACTGGCACTACTTTTTTAGTCTTTCTGTCATTTTATGACTGTTTTTGGTTTACATGAAGTGGTTGTCTTTGAAATATAAAAGCTTACTGTGATGCCAGTTCGGTTCTCTCATCTTATATGGGGACTCCAAATGACACATATCGAAAAGTTAAGGAGGTTTTTGATAATTACCCACGCAAACGAATTCCTTATTCTCGCCATTTAGTTAGAAATCAGTTACCAGGCTCTGGGTGGCGGCTATAAGCCACACTCATTACGTCAGGTCCTATTATACTACCCAGTTCCCCGGACTAAGTTAGACGGAGGAAGATATAAATCTGAGACATACTGGTTAAGGGTTGAGTCCTTAAGCCAATGAGCCGCACCTTTCCATCCTGCCTAACAGAATAATGCGTTTATTATTCGGATAAATTCGGATAACTGCCTTATTGGTTAAAAGCTTTAATGGTTGATGTTAAAATCACCTTAAGCATCAAGGTAACTGCTTATTAACTTCTTATTGTACTTTGCAGGAAAAACTACTATGGCTGATGCTCTGCTGGCCACCAATGGAATTGTGTCTTCACGCCAATCCGGGAAATTACGTTATATGGACAACACTGAAGCAGAGCAAGAGCGTGGGATAACAATGAAATCTAGTGTAATTGGGCTTGTTTTCAATCGGACTATCTCTCCTTCAGATAAAAACAGTGAAAATTACTATCTCATAAATCTAGTCGACTCTCCTGGGCATGTTGACTTTTCTTCAGAAGTTTCAACAGCAGTTCGTCTGTGTGATGGTGCAATCATTGTGATTGATGTTGTTGAAGGAGTATGTCCACAGGTATAGTGTTTAATTTTGCTTGTCTTTAAATAATTTCTCTCTTGTAGACACGTACAGTGCTTCGTCAGGCTTGGGATGAAAGATCTACTCTATTATTAGTTCTTAATAAAGTTGATCGATTGATTTTGGAGTTAAAGATGACACCATTACAAGCCTATGAGACAATGTGTCGAGCAATAGAACAAGTGAATTCAGTTCTTGCTGAAATGTATTCTGCAGATGTGATGCGTCAAAGAAACAGTTTGTGGGAAACAAGTCTTAGTAATCAAGTGAGTACTAATACCATTCGTTAAACAGTTTTTTTGTTGTTGTTTGGATAAGATGCGTATTAGTAATTAGAGGTTTATCTGTTTTCCATTTAAAGATAATGTGTCGTACTAAATGAAAGCCGTATCTGCCTTAATGATGAGATTCTCATGACCTGATAAATAATGTTCATGTTTTTAAATGCTTTTTAGCGAATGTCTACTTCACTTATAATTCCATTCGGTTGCAATCGAGATAGATGAGGCGTTGATTGAAGGTTTGTTTTCGAAGCATGCTTACTTATAATTTAGTTTACACTCAACTGTTTATCTCTCTGAGATGAAAAATTGACCTAGTCGGTATTTGTGTAGATATAGACGACAGGGTGAGAGCTGAATCACACGACTGGATCTTCAGCGACAGTCCTTAATATGTTGTTAGGCTCGGTGTATCAGTTATAATAATTGTGTTACAAGAGAAGCTACGCATTTTTGTCATATCTGCATAGTCTTTCACAGATATAAACTCAAATACAACATGTATACACTACTAAAAAGCCATGAAGTAGAATAAAACAATCATCCTCTTTTTACCTTTCAAATGTCAATTCAGCTTTCGATTAGTATTGAAAACTAATCCCACAAATAAACGTTCCAGTCGTGACTTTATTCTTTAAATGTATGCACTTCAATAATTTTTTACTGTTTAAGTTGTCTATACAGAGCACATAGCTGATTAAACCTGTTTCACTCGACTCATAGCAGTTTGACAGGAGGATCTTTGTATGAAGTTAACTTTAGCAGACTACATGAATTGATTGATTAACTCATAGTGTCGTTTTCTTCACGGATGGCACGAAATGAAAACTGCATTTCTGTGTTCCACTGTGTTAATGATTAGTGAAGAATTTAGATCCTATTGTAAAATGTCTGTCTCTGTCTGTCTGTTTTCGACATAGAACTTTGCATCGATGTGCAGCAGTTCAGGTCGCCACACTCCCTCCTTGTAGCACACAAAGCAAGAGAAGAAAGTAAAAGAAATGCAAAATAGAGACAGTAGACAGGGATATGAGACAAAAGGAATAGTAATATCGAAGAACAATATAGTTTTATTGGGTATTATAAGTCACAAGGAGTGGATGCATCTGCGTTAGCCATTGACAACGATTTTGAGCCATATCTGCAATTGTCTCCAGCCTCCATTGGTTTTTACCATCCTGAGGACCCCAACCAGACAGCAGTCTACACCTTCCTACGCGGTTGGCTTAAACTAACTGTCGTAGATTTTATTGTAAAATGTAATAAACAAAGCAGTAAGGTGCACTGTAAAATGAACCATTTTGTGTATCAATCTTTTACTACTGACTTCACTTCTGAAAAAGGCGCATCATATGTGAAACTAAAAGGATTCTTAAGCTGACCAATTTGCAGTTAGTCCCCCCGCCATTTATGCACTGATTACTTAACTGAACTGAATGCACCCTATAGAACTTAGTACAAAAGTGTAGAAGTATAGTTTACTACACTTTATCAGTCATACATAAGGGTAAAGAAAACAGGAATGTGTGGAAGAAAGATTATTGACATGGGGAATAATAACAAGAATTTAATGATTATAGAAAATCAACAAAAAATAGTGAGTGTATCTACTCTCTGAAAAGCAACTTTTCAGTCATGTTAACAAAAGTCTCTGGCCATTGGTTTCTGGTCTCTTGACTACTCCAACCAGACAGTCTACACCTTCCTACTAACTTTTTTTTATAAAAACTTCATCCTATATCAAACAATTTTGCTTCACCGATCCAGCTTCACAATCTCTTCGACTGATTTTCCCTCCATACATAAAGCCCTTACACCTTACCACACCGTTACAGTCTATATTGTATCAATTAATAGGAGAGTTAGAGTGCATCTTACTTCTGATCAATGACAGCTAGCCTCTTTATATATTCCACTTTCAGCAGTTGCACTTCAAGGCTATAAAAGACAATGGGCCGAAATACTATGCAGTAAACAACACTTTTAAGTGGATAGGCAGATATCACATCTATGCCAGATGTGATATGATATAAATTCATAAATGCCACTCCTCACTGAACACATGAAACAACTGTCACAATTGCTGTTAATAAAGTGGTATAACATTTATCTACAAGTACTGATAGTACCAGAACGGAATTATATATGTTCTGTTTTTTGAAATGTCTGTTTAGCACCTGTATATCGTCTAACTAAATTTACAAAATACACTTAGAAAATCGTCCGTTTGAGTCCCGGTTTGCCTACTTTGTGTGTTGAGTAATTATTGTTATTATACTCTTATTTTATAGAAACCTTTAAGTGCCTTAAACAGTGATACTGCCTATGATTGGAGCACTGGTCTTGAAAAAGCTGATGACTCGAATTTATACTTTTCGCCTGAAAAAGGCAATGTTGTCTTTTGTTCTTCTGTTGACTCATGGGGTTTTCGTATTGACCAGTTTAGTAAAACATGGTCTGAACGCTTGTCAATACCTTGTTCAGTGTTACAAAACTCGCTATGGGGTGATTTTTATCTAACTGCTGCTGCGGCTGCCTCTTCTACAGAGTCGAATAATAAAATGACTGTCAAGACAAATGCTAAACAAAAACAAAAGAAGCCTATTTTTGTCCAGTTAGTTCTAGAGCCTTTATGGAATGCATATCAGGTAAGAATTGAGTTTCATTTGGTGTTGTATGTATATATATTTATAAATGTATATATATGCTAGGTGCTCACCAGCCACATGGAGGAGTCTGGGCTCGATTTCCCGCCGACGTAGTTGAGTGGTAGTTGAATGCCACTCGCATCAACCAGTAATACTTACCAATTGTTAGCTAGATCAAAGTAGTCTAAACACTGGACAGCGGTTTCGCTCGTTCTGCGCCAAGCTCCTCAGCTCTGTACACCTGGCTTGACCCAGTGTCCAGAGAGCCGAATCAGATCAAACCACCCGATTTGCGGTCAGTTAATTGAGCGAACTGGTAATACAAGCAAATCACACTGTTTTTACGGGTTGATCACGGATCGGTATCAGTTAGAGAACCATTGAAAACCAGCAAGGAGTACTGGACTGCTGTTTCATCCTAGTTTGGGAATCATCGTTAGTACACACCCACAGCCAGAGTTCGAACCCAGGACCTTCCGGTTACAAGGAAAGCTGGCTCGTATACCATTCAGCCACTGGGACCCGATTCAATGGCTCATGAATTCTAACTTCTACCAATTCGTGATTTACCGCAACCCCAACCATTGTCGTAGGTGAGACATCCATCCTCACACGTGGCATCTGGATGGACTTCACTGGTCACGACTTATTACTAGAACTCCAGGAAACTCCATCCTGTAGCAAGTCAGTAGTGAGCACCAGATTAATTTTCTGTAGTTTGGTTTGTAAGGGTTCATGAGCCATTGAATCGGGTCCCAATGGCTGAATGGTATACGAGCTTGCCTTGTAACCGGAAGGTCCTGGGTTCGAACCCTGGAGGTGTATACTACTGATGATTCCGAAACTAGGCTGCTGAAGCAGCTGTCTGGCAGTACTCCCTGGTTTTCAATGGTTCTCTAACTGATATCAATCCGTGATCAACCCGTAAAAACAAAACTAGCCCTTACAAACCGAACTATAGAAAATCACACTGTGTTCTGAATAATTTTGGTTTCTAAAGGAAACTTTGGTGAAATTTCACCTCGAACTGTGTTTTGACTCATCATTGTAAGCAGTTAACTTTCAATCACCTACGCAAGGGCTGGAATTCTCTGTATCTGACTGACCAAGCTTCAACATAGAGTTTTGCGGGGGAGTGCAGAAGTTCAACTTGCCACACTCTATTTAGCCCAAATGGGTAGAAAATCCAAAAATGCCTAATGGGCAGAGATATACAGGATAAAGGATAATCACGGTGGAGAAACATGAAAATCTGATGGATATGAGAGATTACAAATAGGGGATGCGTCTGCACCATTGACGACGTTTAGTCATATTACTAACAGTCTCAAGCCAAGGACTACAACCAAGTACTCTACACCTCCCTATGTTTTCTTTCCTTCACGTTCCTGGTGGAACATAGGGCTTCAAGCTATTGGCTTGAAGTTTCTGTAGCAGTGTTTATTTTACAGGATGAGTTTGCTAGCCTCATGCCCAACCTTTCCTCTTCGCCAGCATTATTTCTGGCTTAGCAAGGTAAGGGAGGAGTGCGTTGGCCGGGAATCGAACCCCGGACCATGTGTATGGTCGGTGAGCGTCCTAACCGCTATACCACCGACGCAAGGGGTTTCGAACCCAGGACCTTCCGGTTACAAGGCAAGCTCGTATACCATTCAGCCACTGGGACCCTCCCTATGTGGTTGGCTCAAACCAAATGTGAAAGACTTCACAGATTGAAGCCAGGTTTTGATTCGACTACTTCTCGATCTTTTCCAGCCTAATCCTGTGTCAACTAACGTGTTAATCAACGAGGAAGACATCGACTCAACCCCTGGTTATGTACTGTCAACATTTAGTGATCGTGGTTAGGAGACTGTCGTCTTATTACGTGGTGTTGAAAGACCGTAGCAACATGGGACAACCTACTACTACTACTGGGTAACGATCGAAGCTGCCCTATCCCAAATTTGCACACCATGTAGATCATAAAAAAGATGTGATCGAAAGTCGTAGAGTGTTATAAAATAGAGGATTTAAAAAAATAGCAATAAAGAAATGTGCTGCTTTATAATACATTTAAACCGTTTCTATCTTTTCTGAGATATATTATATAGAGTCTGTAATTATAGGTCCTTGAGATGTTACATTGATCGTAGGTAACGAACTGGAATCTCCCTACCCGGTTGATTCACTTTGATACTTTGTTGAAACAGACAGTGAATTGGCATTTCTTATGCGGTAATCTTACCGGATACTGGTTATGCTCTGCAGACAATAGTGATCGACCATGTGGGTTGTCTACATTCAGCTGTCATGTTTCGCAGTCTCACACAGTAGACGGAGCTCGCTACTGTGTTGTAGTGTAACGACAGAAGACAAGGGCCAGGCAACAGATCGTTTATTAAGGAAATCAACAGATATTTATAGCTTTTCATGTACATTATCATAGATTATTCTTAGCACAAAAACAGTCTTCTGACTGGTTGTTTCTGACTGAAAGTTAATCTTTCATCTCTTTGTGGGTGTTTCTTGAATGTCAGATCATCTATCTGCTAACTGTATCCGCCTACGCAGTCTTTGTTCTCATTTTTCTCACGACCAATATTGACGTAAACGTTGACGTAAATTACCACCTACCAATTTGGCTAGCAGCCAGCTCTCACCATAGTAGTGCATCTAACTCTTGGGTGGCAGTGATATATCTACTAGCGAAATTTATATATCTAAGCAAAAATTTCATAACCACAAAATCATCAGGATTAATTTTGCTTATCATGTAGACACATTTGACCATTTCACTTTCTTTACTGAAATAACGTGTCAACGCCAGATAATGTTGAAGTATTTACGTATGTTCAAATTTATGTATGCATGTTTGTTTGTTTATGTAGAACTATCAACAGTGACAAATCTCTTGGTGTCCATAATGCTCCAAGTTTCTATTTTAATCTCCGATCGTTTTTAGGAGTCTTGGGTGCGTACTTTTGAAGAGTCCCAAAAACTAAGACGAAACAGCTATCCAATACTTCTTGGTTTTCGAAGGTTCTCCAACTGGAGCCACCTCGTTATCTAATTTGATACCGGTTAGGTACTAATTGGGGCAATTTCTGTAAATGGAAATCATCTACGTGCGTTGGTGGCACAGTGGTTAGGACTCTCACCGACCATGCACATAGTCCGGGGTTCGATCCCCGCCCGACGCACACCTGATATCTATGGTCGGTCTGCAAAAATTGGCTACCGATATCACATGCTGAAAACTCCATACTTGTACCAAAAGATACTGTGTGGAATCAAGCTATAATCAAAAAATTACATACAGATGCTAATTACCTTAATATGCAATTTTTTTTTGTCTAATATTTTAGACCTTATTATTGGATGATAAACGAGACAAAGTGTTTGCAATGGCTGAAAAAGTTGGTGTCAAGCTGGACCAACGTGTTATCCGTAATGTTGATAGTCGTGGAGTTCTACGCGCCTTGCTAAGTGCTTGGCTACCCTTGGGTCATACACTAATGCAGGCTATAACAGATATCTGTCCTAGCCCGTCTAAAGCAGTATCTGCTGATCGAGCTGTACATATGCTTTATGGCGATACAGTTCTGTGTGATCTACCACCTCTTTTGAAGGCAGACAGTCCTATTTCAATTGATCAGACATCACGTGTACCGATAAATTCAGTCTATTCATCATCGGGTGCTAGTTTGGGTAAGTGAAATGTGTAGTTAGTTTTTATTCAATGTAATTTAGTTATGTTGTTTGTTTTGTGTGTGTGTGTGTTTGTGTGAAGATATGATCCATTGACTGTGAGATACTTGACTTGATCGAACTTTAAAACTTGGCTGTACTTACTTCATTTGATTGACCTGACCTAAACTTTTGCATTACAGCCAATTAGTTCCAGGTTCGAGTCCTGCTCAGTCTACTTCATCAGTTCCCACACAATAGGTATGTTCAAGAGGGATTTTCATGTCAGTCATCCTGGTACATGATTTTGCATAGTTTTTTCGTTGGTGGCCATAGAGTTATGGAACTGACGGTCACAGGTGCTTAGGATGATTATAGCTTCTGGCGTAGAAATGAATCCAAGAAGGTTGATCGTTTGCGTACAGCTCGTGACTGGCAAGTGTTGCACAATCAATGTCAGTCACCGCCAGATATCGTGTAAACTTTAACGTTTAGCCTTTGGTGTTGATGCAGGCTGAATTCTATCAGTGAATTTTGCAATTTGGCCACCTTGCTAGGTAGGTAGCTCAGTTCATTCTGAAGTGTTGTTAGATGGTTGGGGGTAATCGGTAGGGGAAACATTGGACAGAGGTTGTGTGCTTGTTGGCACTTATGAGCAAAGCGTATCTGCAACGTTGCAGGTATTCATATCCCGTATGAGATTCTAACCCGCATCACCTTGGGCTGCAGGCACAGATGTCACCAATAAACTATTCACCCGCACGAGTGACCTCCTCTAGGATTGGAATGGGATAGAATTCAGTTTACACACCAAGGACTCTTGATGCATGATATTGGTAACTCCCTGATGGCCAACCAATTCATGCATTAGAGTTTTATAAGAAGTGGGTCATAAGTCCGAATAACTCAGTGGTAACGTATTCGGTGGCGGCAGTAGTGGTTGAAGCGGGTTCGAATGTCAGACATGGCATGAATTCTGTCAGGGTTGTAGATACGCCTTGGTGAGTAGTGAGTGTCAACAGTCACGAAACCTAGATCAAGCAAGGTCTCTTACCGATTGCCTCCAACCGTCTAACGTCCATTCGTGATGTTGAGCTAACTAACTTACTGACGGCAATGTAAACTTGGCTGGTAGAATTCTTGTTTGCACCACTATGAAGAACTAGACTCATGACATGATTTACACACCCTGGTGATCAATCATTGTATTCTTTATTATGTCTGCTAAAACTGTGTGTACTCGTTTTAAACGGAAGGATCGGATGACGAAGAATATGTCCATTAGATTATGGAAAACGGCAAAAAGATATAGTTGAGATGGAGAAATACTTTTCTTTGTCGACAGAGTTATCAAATTGAACTGTAGATTAGGTTAATCTGCATTTCCCGTTGGATCGGAATGCTCGGTCAACAGAGATCGTCTTACTGATAGTCGTTACACAAAATGTGGCCCTAGTGACCTAGTAGAAGTTCGAAACGATAATTGCTCAATAGGAATGCAGGTACACACCAGATGACGAGTCCTAAATAGGATGAAACGCACATTCTGGATTACACGCAAGTCATTATCAACCAAAATAAAACTATACATTCTCGAATATGTGTAACTGAGATTCGAATCCAGTGCCTGTCTCTTCAAACGCAAAAACGTTATCCACTAGGCTACTGAGCTATGAGAGCCACCTCCTGTGCAACGGGTATTATTCATGTTTGTTATCTCCCGTTGATATATCTGGACCGAAATGATGAGGCTCATTCTGGTAGATGGACTCCTTGAACAGATGCCTCAATATTATTACTAGGAATCAGAAACTTGAAGTGACTTACTGGTTAAGTGGATAACTCTGTTGCTTGAAGTGATGGGTACTGGGTTCGAGTCCCGATGGGGAACACTGTCACTCAGTGGGAAGCACATACATCCCATCCAAAATAGCATGAAGCTGTCGTTCTGCATGCTACTCGTAACCACCACCAGACAAGTAACTTTGAAGTATATATTAATCATCGTAGTATCGAGGTATCCGTTCAGGGAGTCTGTATACCCTATCGAGGCGAATCAATATGAAAACGTGTGAATGTTACTCACTGAGCACTTGTAATTCTATATAGTTGGCAGTAAGTCATACCTATCGCGAGAGGGCTAGTCATACTGCTTGGCTGACGAAATCTCAATAGGTGGAGCGGGATAGGAACTCATGAACCACCACCTAGTTGGAAGTTGAGCGCCAATACACTAATGAACCACAGCTCCACCGTTCCAGATGTAGGTCAACAGCAAATCACAAATATGATCAGATAATAGATGAATAGTAATGTTCAGATCGTTTGGGATCCATTAGCCTAAGCATTCTATTTTCAGCTAATAAGTTACCCAGGTTCGAACTCCACCTAGTTCATCCTGGGTAAATGGGGTAGTATTACAAACCCTCATATACAATAGATTTGCCACATATACACTGTGATTGATTGGCATTAAGCTTTGCACAAAAGCGCAGCAGTTCAATTCGCCACACTCCATATTATCAAACAAAGATAGAGGAAAGAGAGAAAAGGAGATTGGAAAGAAATGAAATAAGCAGAAATGTGCAAGCAAAAGAACAGTGAAAAGCATAAGGATTTATTGGATCTTGGAGATCACAAAGAGAGGATGCGTCTGCGCCATTGAGAACGATCTTGAGCCATATTACTAATAGTTTCCAGTCATTAGTTTTTAGCATCCCGAGGAACCCGACCAGGTAGCATACACACCTCCCCATATATGGCTCAAACCAACAACCAAAATTTGATGGACTGATGACAGGTAGGTGTTGATTTGACAACCCCCCACCCGCTTGTGGCCGTAACTCTTTCCAAACTTAATCCTCTGTTAGTCACCATCACCCATCAATGAAGACTTATAGTTCGGCATGCGCAGTACATAGACACTGTTCCAGGTGAAACTGACTTCTAACAACATATATTTTGTTGAACAAACTGTTAGTACGGTAATAATCAATAATCGATCACTTCAAAACAATGTTTGTTCACTCTTCTCTTCTCTTCTCTGATCTTGATAATTTTAGCTCTTCAAGCGTGTGACTCCTCTGCAGAATCGCCAACTATTATTTTCGTCGCTAAAGTATTTTGGACGGATAAGCTACGGCCTACTTCAAATGCTTGTGATCGTCCTGTCCCACCTGATGATATAAAGTAATTCATTTCATTATAAATGTTTAAATATTACTTGCAATATGTTTTTCTCTTGGAAATGTGTACGTGTAAAAAAAGAAAGAAATGAGTGGTAGCTGAAATTTTATGACTTCAGTCAGTGTGGTTTATTCAGCGTTTTGAATGATTCATGCAAAATTCCTATTTTAACATAAAGAAAATCAAAACAAATGGTGATTCAGCGAAGAGACTTTTTTCAACGAATTTATCATCAAGCTGTACAATCGTGTATATATGGTTTTTTTAGGAAGTTATATCCCCTTGAGGGAGTTGAATCATATCTGTGAATGCATAAAATAATAATTTTTTTTATCCCTTCACGTTCCCCAGTGGAACATAGGGCTTCAAGCTAGTGGCTTGAAGTTTCTGTAGCAGTGTTTATTTTACAAGATGAGTTCGCTAGCCTCATGCCCAACCTTTCCTCTTCACCAACATTACTTCTGGCTTAGCGAGGTAAAGGAGTGCGTCGGCCGGGGATCGATCCTCGGACCATGTGTATGGTCGGTGAGCGTCCTAACCGCTATACCACCGACGCACTATAAAATAGTAATAGTAGTATGAAATCCAATTCAAAGGATGTATAGAACCTGGAAGGGGTTTGCAATTATAGAAAAAGTTCGTTCAACCCTTACAACTTTCATGGTCTTAATCCCTATAGGCTAAAGAATGGTAATCCCTAATCATATTTCGGCTCTACCATTTCTTTTCATTCAATTTGTACACTCTTCCTTTATTACAATGTCAGTTGTTACTTTAACTATTCTCACTTCGAACAACTGTCTCCGGTATTACTTCACTCGCTCCACTTGTCATTCTAAATCAATTTTGTTTTGCAACGATAAGTTCTATGATATCAATTTTCACACAATATTATGTAACGTTTTTATTTTATTCGGTTTGTCTACTAATCTTATAATTGCACACCCCTTCCAAGTTCTATCCATCCTATGAATTATTCTATATATAACAATAATTGTTTTGGCACTTGACATTTAACTACGATTATAATCACAAACATTTTAGTATTAATTGCATTTCATACTACTACTATTATTTTATGTATCCACACCTATGATTCAATTCCCTCATCGGATATAACTTCTTAAAAACCACATCATATACGATTGTACAGCTTGATAATAAATTCGTCGTTGAAAAGAGTCTCTTCGCTGAATCATTTGTTTTGATTTTGAATAATAACAATAATAATAATAATGATTTACTTTATTCCAAAAACAGTACTTGTGATACAGAATGGAATTTTCAGCATTAATCACAGTAATATTGCATCTAATTTCCTCAAATTATAAATAAAATTAATCACACAGAAAATTCTCCACATTTACAATGAGGGTAATGTCAAAAACATGCAGCATATAAAATGGAAATAATAATAATGATAACAGCTAAGGTAATAATAGTTATAATACAAGTGAAAATTGCCATGGGCTTGTTTCACACGGTATTGTCAATGCGGTTTAGAAATCCTAGCATGTAATATATAATATAATTATCAAAAATGTTCTCTTTACATGATATGGTGAGGGAAAAAACAAAGATTACAGCAGTCATAGAGATAAGTTGGTGTTTGTAAATGAGAGTAAAACAAAGAAGCAACAGGACCATAAATATAATAGAAATAATAAAAGTAAACTTGAAGGTATATAAGGATGGATGGATGGAGGAGATTGTTTATTTACTAGATGAAAAAAGGTTAGTTAATTCTTGCCTGACACTATTTTCATCACATAAAATACGTGCCAAGTATGGTATCATAGAATTTTTGTACTTAGACGTGCGAGCATACAGTTTTCTGAAGTTACTTCTTGTTCTACCTGAGGAGATGCAAGGTGACAACTGAGGGTAAAGTGGATGCTCCAAGTCAGACAGAATCCCTTTAGCAAATTTATTTCACGAAGTCAAGTACCTATCGACAACGACGTTAACTATGTGGTCCACTGGGACACTACTCATCCTACTAACAGTCTTCAGCATTCTACGAATTGTGACATAGTCCTTTTTAAGCAAACCAGGAAAGAATAAGGGTGAACAATAAAGAAGAAAAGGCTCGTGCTGAGTTTTAGTCATACAGTGAAATATTATAAATTATACAACTTCAGCGTACATAACCTAATCTAATGATTATTGTCTAGAGTGTCGTCAAGAACCGAGATTAGTTGGTGTGAATTATTGAAAACCAAGGAGCACTAGGTGTCTATTTCGTCCTAGTTTGAGTGGTGGATAACCATAATCCCCCCCACCACTACCATCAGGGATTGAACCCAGATAACGAGGGCAGTCCGTTGATCACTCAGTCACTGAGTTGGAATTCAAGAACCTGTGAATTCTAACTTCTGTCAATCAATGGCATCGATGAGTAATCACTTCGCCAAGTCATGGTGAACTCAAATGGTCACAATTTCCTATAGCCATTAAATAGGCTGGTGATTTATATTCAGAGTAGAGATTTTCATCAACTCCAATCTTAGATTTCTTCGCTTACCAACATCAGTGTTAAACAATCACTAAAAATCAAGGGGTAGTGTGGGGGAGGGGGGAGGACAGCTGGTTTAATCCTATTGTGAGACTCTTCGGGCAGTGTGCACTGGTGACTCCACCAAGGATCGAAGTTAGTGAATGATAATACTGTATGCAATGGTATTTAGTTGATGCTCTCCTAGCCTAGCTTTAATAGTTTGATCATGAATGTTTGTCTGTCTGGATTCAACATAGAACTTGGCACCGAAGTGCAGCAGTTCCAGTTGCCACGTTCCAAATAGCACACAAAGGTAAACAAGAAGATGAGTGAAGAGAATCAATAGAGTTTTGACAAGTATAACAGTGAAACAGAGTGAGTAATGGTAGAAAGGAATATGAAAGATTACAGAGACTGAATACATCTGCGTAAGCCATTGACAACGATTTTGAGCCATGTCACCTATTGTCTCCAGCCACTGATTGATACTTAGAGTCCCGAGGGCCCCAACCCGGAAGTCTACATCTCCCTATCTGACTCAGTTTAACTGTCAAGGATTTCATGGATTGATGCCATGTTTTTGTTTGGCCACCGCTTACTCTTTTCCAACCTGCACCTATATCAGCTAGTAATGCCCGTCGTGGGAGGCGATGGTTAGGCATGCGCAGCACGTGACCTAGCCATCTCAATCTATGTAACTTTATAGCCCCTTCGATTGATTTTCCCTCTTTGCCCAACACTCTACGCCTAACGTCAACATTACTTAGGCGACAGGTACTTGGTTGGGTCGCTATACTGCCAGAGTTCCGTGTTGCTTATCCCTCCAGGTTTTCCTGAGCCTTAATATCGGAAGAAGGCAACTGTTGGTGAAAGTCTGCAGTAACCTGATGGAAATGCTTTCGGTAATACGCTAAGTCACTGAACCTTTTTTATAGGTTGTTGCAAACTACTCCAGCTTATTTGTTGAACTTCTTAATACCATGACCTGTTGAATAGTCGACTGATTATATGCTGTATATTCAGAACATCTCAGTTTCTAGAGTGAAGGACATTAGAATCTTAGAACAAACCTAGCAAACTGGAGAAAATGTTCCTTTTTTCCTGTCCAAATCTTTATAACAGATAGAAATAAATATAAAGGAGTATATTAATCATAAGCAGACGTTGTAGGAATAGAGACCATTCGTGGGTCACGATGAAGTCAACCAGATAAGATGTTGATAAAACACATTCATGATCAAGCGTAGGCGTGACATCCGGCTATCAACCATGGAACGTGTGTACTGCTCAGCAGTTCGCTCCGTCCTTGTCTATGGCTCTGAAACATGGCCAATATAGGTTGAAGACATGAAAAGGTTGACTGTTTTTGATCATAGATGTCTACGATCTCTTTCTCACGTTAGGTGGTATAATAAGGTAAGTAATGTTGATGTTAGGCGTAGAGTGTTGGGCAAAGAGGGAAAATCAATCGAAGAGGCTATAAAGTTACATAGATTGAGATGGCTAGATCACGTACTGCGCATGCCTAACCATCGCCTCCCCCGACGGGCATTACTAGCTGATATAGGTGCAGGTTGGAAGAGTAAGTGGTGGCCAAATAAAAACATGGCATCAATCCATGAAATCCTTGACAGTTAAACTGAGTCAGATAGGGAGATGTAGACTTCCGGGTTGGGGCCCTCGGGACTCTAAGTATCAATCAGTGGCTGGAGACAATAGGTGACATGGCTCAAAATCGTTGTCAATGGCTTACGCAGATGTATTCAGTCTCTGTAATCTTTCATATTCCTTTCTACCATTACTCACTCTGTTTCACTGTTATACTTGTCAAAACTCTATTGATTCTCTTCACTCATCTTCTTGTTTACCTTTGTGTGCTATTTGGAACGTGGCAACTGGAACTGCTGCACTTCGGTGCCAAGTTCTATGTTGAATCCAGACAGACGGAAGTGTCAACCGTAGAGCTTTACCAATTCAATCAGCTCCCAGAAAGAATGTTTACATATCCTTGCCTTTCAGAGGTAGGTGATCAACAAAGTGTAGTCACTAGACAAAGACTCAAGGTCGCAATTAATAGAACCTATTATGCAGCTAAACTTATCTTCATAGAGAGAAAACGAGAACTATGCTGTCCTGTAAACCCTCACATTATCCGAACGATAGTATCACATCCCGCTGTGTTTATCAATTTACATGTATGTGTGGAGACACGTACATAGGGAGGACCCATCGGTCTCTGCAGGTTAGGGCTACAGAACACATTCCAAAGTGGCTGCAACAACAAATGAAATCGCCAGACACAATTGAACCCGGAAATAGATGTCCAACATCATCTATAGCGAAGCATATTATAGAGACGGGTCATAAGGTTGATTTCAACAAAGCCTTTAAGCCGATATATAAAACAAGGTTGGGCCACATACTTAAATTCTTTGAAGCCTTAGCCATAAAAAGACTTAAACCCGTTTTATGTGTCCTGCCTTGGTAATCCAATTTAGAACCAAGGACCAATTTACTTTATCATATTTTCAACCCCTTCTTTGCCTTGTTTTTTCTCTTTTTCACTTTCTTACCCACACCTTTTGCGTCTCCCTACCCATTATTTGTGACCTTGACCCGTACACAATCTGACCTGTATTGTAATTATTCATGCCTTCTTGTCTTCTATAAAAACTGTGTATGACAAGTTCTCGTGGGTGATCAGAATGTCTGAAATGTGTTGCGCAAATACACATTACACGTTCCAGATAAACTACGTCTTCTTATTGTGTTGTCGAAATGTCATGTTTTACCCAGAATTTATCCCATTTTCTTCCTGTTTTGTTTACATTCCGAATGGGGCCGTAATGTTGTTTTTAGGGGTGTGGTGGTGGGTTTGCCTACCTCACGGCCAGCCTTTCGTTTTTTCTAGGTTTAGTACCGGCTAGCAAACTCCAGAAGGTTCTGCAATGCGTCAGCAGGGAGTCGAACCTAGATCGCCCGAGTGTCTGGCGAGCATTCTACCAGCGTAGCACATCTTAGTGGAAAGAAGTTTGTTCTCTATAGTTTAGTGTAATTGTAGTTTATTTTTCTGTAGGCTAATTTTACGGATATATCTTCATCTCATAACATTTGCTTTTGTATTATTTTCAGATCAGAAAATACAGATCAGATCAGTACTGTACAGTCTTGTGATACGGAAACTTCCGATATTAGTCATCCATGTGTTGTTTCCCAACCCTCTCTTTGTAACACTTCAACCAGACAAGCCAATACTAGTCTACGATCTCCTTTGGTATCGTGTAATCCATTCGCCGATACTGATTTTGTTGCTTTAGCTAGAGTTTTTAGCGGCACCGTTTATCCTGGTCAAAAATTATTTGTTCTTGGACCGAAATTTGATGGCCGAAAGGTTAGTGTGACGCATTTTTGATCATTATTAATTTTCAAGTTGGATCACGGATTGATGTCAGTTAGAGAACTATTGAAAGCGAAGGAGTGATGGCCTGCTGTTTCGTCCCAGTTTGGGGCTCTTCACCAGCACACCCCCTTGACCCCACTAAGAGTCGAACTCAGGACCTTCAGGTTATAAGGCCAGGCTTGTTGACCATCCAGCCATTCGGGGCAGAATCCAATCGACCATGAATTCTAACTTCTGTCAGATCACGATATTATTTTAAAAAGAGACGTAATGGGTTAATAATTAGATTTGCTGGACAAATAGCCACTGCCTGGGCGCGGTGCTCGGGCTTGCATATCGCAACGATCCAACAAGCTTCAATGAATGGAACAAATGTCCCTTCAGGTTTTCCTGACATGTCAGAAAGGTCGTCTGGATAGCAGTCAGACTAGAAGCAGTTACCATTGTAGTTTAAGTAGTTCACGCTATATTTGAGGGTCTGTGGACGAAGTCATACTGCTGACGAATAGGGATGTAATAACAGTAATATGGTTTCCCTCAGATGACCAGCAAACTAACTATGTTGCCTCTCTAGGGAGGAGTTAGAAAGGGCCGACTCCAAAAGTATACATCCTAACCTGCCTTGCGACAATCCGTAGTCGGCGGTAATATTTTAATACAGAGATAACTCCCGAAACCAACTCCATGGCACTGTGTGTGACTGTTCTCAAACAGTTGTCCCCTGGGCGTTTTGGTCACGCAACACTAATGCTCCTTCTATTTCAGGTATTTTAAGAAGACATCAGTTTCCATGGTGTGGGCAGCCCGCCTACATACTCCTATTGGCAGTCATCATCCAATTAGACTTGAAATTATTACTTAGCTTGTTGCAGGATTCAAACATACAGTCACAGACTTATTAGCATGACAATGAAACACTGATTAAACTTCCGTCTTCAGCGTCAGTCATCAAGGGTTCTCGACAACTCTTGTAAATTGGTGAAAATGTCACGATCCGATTAATACTAACAACTTCTCAATGCATTCGCAACTGAAAGGAAACCTAAGGCAAATAATGTTACTCAACAACTATTTTACAATGCTATGCAGTTGGCAATGATCCACACCTGTTGTTTGAGGGCCCGTGGTATATTACCTGGCTGTTCAAACATCTGTGGGTAGGACAAGACTCGAATCGGTTACCCACTGGTTGGAAGTCGACCGCCTAGACTGATAGATCACAGCAATTGTCGATTATACTATTTAAGATGGGATTGGTTTAATTCACTACCTTTATCGCCCTACTGAATAAAGACTGTTTATGTAGCAGGTGAGCGCATCGGTGACTCAGCGGTAGAATGCTGGGGTTCGATTCCTAGCCGGCACACACCCCTACCTCCCCTAGGTGTTTGTTAGTGCGGTAAATAGGGAAGGCTGGGCATGAGGCTAGCAACGCCATCCCGTAAACAGACACCACTGCTAGTGAAACTCCAAAGCCCAAACTTGGAACTTTATGTTCCACTAGGAACTCATAGGAATGGTATGTAGCGGGCCGATTTCTATTTCACTTCCAATTATCCCTCCACTGCATGAATGACACAGTCTATCAACCCGAGACAATCTCAGATAGTCTCACCATCAAAGGCTATTTAGCTTAAATCCTATCTGTATAGTTTGTATCGCGGAGATAATAAAGATTTTTATGAAACCGTCTGGATTATCGGCAGTTCATGCTATGTTACTGAAAAGGTCGACTTGACAGATCTTCACAATTGACGACAATAAAGGCGAATTCTGTTGGGTTATTATCACTCAGTGAAACATTCAGCATTAGAGCTAACACATCTCCTCTTTCGATTTGTTCAAAGATGTGTTTTTAAGACTGAATATGAGGAGTACTTTACACACTAGTGACTTTAACAAACTTGTCTAATATCCCTCCATGTAGTCTTTCGAATGTTCCAGTTTATTAAATTTATATCATGCATATCATACATTTACACACACACACACACACTATCTAGCACTTTCAAAAGATTTTATAAGCCTATCCAATTTTGCTGTCAGGTGCCTTCATATCTCTTGGATGCAGATCCAGAAAACTTTCCACTTGGTCCTGTTCGTCTACGAAATGAAGAAGAAGAAGGTGATCTGGGTCTTTCAAGTACCAGCAATCATAACAATTCATTCGATGATCTTGGTAAAGCCAGCTCAGTGAATTCTGGCTCGTTCTCTATCAGTCGTTCAGGATCCGTTGGTGGTGGTTCAAGTGAATTTCGACTATCCGGTCCAAGATATCTACGTCATGTTTATGTCGCTTCGATTGTTCGTGTCCTTCAGCTGTTGGGTAGTCAGTCAGATATGGTTGAAATTGTTGATCCTGTACCAGCTGGGAATATAGTCGGCCTTACTGGACCCGATCTGATTGCATGTCTGCCTAAATCTGGTCTTCTAGTTAGCCGATTATCACTGGTCGCTTCGATGGCTAGTAAAACAGATAATAATTCTGAGACAGAAATCGCCCCTGTCCTGCCTTTAGCTGGTTTAGCTGTTTGGCATGGTGCACCAGTTATTTCGGTCGCTGTGGAACCAGCATCTGCTGCTAATCCTGAAGATGTTTATCGACTGGAACGTGGTCTTCGTCTGTTGGATCGAGCTGACCCGTGTGCAGAGGTAATTTTTTACTTTGTATCTATATGTGTATCAGGTTTTGTCATTTGGTGTTTGAATTTATTCAAATTTACAACGTCATTGAACTTCAAAGTACGCTTTATAATAACAACTGCAAAACTTAAAGAGAGACTAATGGTTACTGAATACCTGTTTCGTACTAGTTTGGATCTCTTCATTATTGCGTGCACTTACTACTACTCTCATCAGCAATCCAAGTCCAGGACCTTCAGGTTGTTCGTTGAGCCAGTTGACCATTCATGCATTGAGTTGAAATTCAAATTTTAACTTCTGTTTATTCGCGATACATAGTGTTACCTGCAGCTATCGCCATAAATGGGCATCCGCTGTATCCTGACATAGTGGAACCCACCGACCACGGCTTTTCAATAGAATTTCAAAACCTTCTTCCTATAGCGACTGGTATTTAGATGATTTTGGATTTTGTAATAATAATTTGGATTAATTTCAAGTAGGTTTTTTTTGTTACGCATTAACATCAGTCAGCTGCCTTCATTACCTGAGGGTCATAGATGATCACATGTGAAGAGTCTCACACTAGATTGAAATAGCTGTCTCAATTACTCTTTAACTGATGTTGGTTTTATGACGCGAATTACTACGGTGAAATTAATCCAAGCTCATATAAAAGCCAATACCTAAAGAAGTAGTTGCTCTCGTTGACAACGAGGCTGTTTACTAGTAATAAGCTTTACTAAATAATCAATAAATCTGTGCGTCGGTGGCTCAGCGGTTATGACTCTCGCCGACCATGCATATGGTCCGGGGTTCGATCCCCTGCCGACGCACACCTGATATCTATGGTGGGCCTGCAAAATTTGGGCTACCGATATCACCTGCTGAAAATTCCATACATGTACCAAAAAATACCGCGTGAAATCAAGTTGTAATAAAAAAAGAATTCGACAGTATCAAAGTTTTTCTGTGGAGATAACTGTGTGTAATTGAATGATTGAAAAACAAATTGTGTGAGCTGACATTATTATTTTTTTATTCCTTTACGTTCCCAGTGGAGCTTAGGGGGCTTCAAACTAGAGCTTTGAATTTTCGGTAGCAGTTGTTTCATTTTTACGAGGTTGGGTTTGCTAGCCTCATGCCCAATCTTCCCCTTTATTGAGATTGCTAACGGCTTAGTGAAGTTTAGGAGTGCGTCAGCCGAAGATCGAACTCCAGACCATGTGCGCGTGGTTGGCGAGTGTTCAACCGATGAAACACCGATGCCTAGGAAGTTAATATTAATTTGCTCTTATTCTCTTGATGGTGTGACTAGTAGTGGAATTTAGGATTCACATTTCGTCCTATTTGGGACTCATCAACTGGATGTGTCTGCATCCTTCCGGATAATTTTCCCACTGAAACTCGAATGCATCAATCATGGAAAAGATTTGTAGCTTAGATGGATATTTTTCTCATTGTTGTGTTCTGTGAACTGGATAGTTTAATTGTGAAACCTCCATTATCCTACTGGACAACATCTTCAATACTAACTTCACTGTCGACATTTAGAAATATTTCTTGGATGGCATATTTGTGTCTGCTGAAGCCATTCGCTGCGATTAGTTATTTTCTGTAGACTTCCTCATCATTTTATCCACTAGTATCGATATTGTTCGTCTTGTTGATCATATTTTTGACCTATGGGGGTTAGTAAGACCTATTTTTATTGATTGATACGATATCTCCATATCCCCATGTATGTTAATTGCAATATCAACAGATGTGAATACACTGATAAACCCTGTCGGATAACACTTTGACGTGAATCCTTAGTTGATTAGTAGGATGGTCGCCGTCCACACAAGAGGTCTGCGTCCGATTCCCAGTTGATGCACTGCTTAACTCTAGCCTAGCCGATAGTAAGCCGAGAAAAAAGGGAGATAGTCTTGCTTCTGTTTTTATCATCAAATTGCTTTACTCCTATGTTGAATGATAAGAGTGAAGCTAATAAAGAATTAGCCCATCGCTTTGCCAATGCAGTTGTTTTGCTCATATCGAAAGTAAAATGAGCGCTGAATACTATGAGTGAATCATCAGACATTTGGAATTAGTTGTGTTCTCTGAGCTGTTTGGTTTAATTACGAAGCTTTCGTCGTCCTTCTGGGCAACATCTTCAGCTCAAGTTTTAGCATAAAATGAACTGATTTAAATTCTTCATGAATGATAGAATTGGATCTCGTGGCAACTATCTTCGTGACTGGTGGTAGTCGATTCACATTTGTATTGATCATTTTTTATTGACTGACTTGGAATTCGAACTTTCTTGTCACGTGACTTACTTTTTATTAGTTGGTAAATTTGGTCTATTTTGATTGGACACTAGTAATTAGTGTAATGTGTGTAGTCCTTTCTTTGGTACAGACTGAATTCTATCTATCAGTCAGGGTTGCAATGTGGCCACCATTCGAGGTTCGAATCTCAGAAGGGGCATGTTGGTCGCAGATGCGCCTTGCTGACTGACCTGACTGGTGAGTGCCAACTAGCATGAGACCTTGGTCGTAGGCTTCCTGCCGATTTCCTCCAACCATTTAATATCATCAAATTTGGTCTATAATAATATGTTTGTTAATCGCTGGTTCACTTGAGTACCAGGTTTCTAGGAATTCTCTGACTGCACTTTTGGTGTTTTCTCTATTTAAAATTTCGACATTATCCCAATCAAATTGATGTCCATAATTATCTACATGCATTGATATGAAAGAATATATATATATCATGTCTTTTTACAGCTAATTTGTGTTCTTGGATTCTGATTCGAAGGGGACACCCACTTTGACCGACGTAATGTCATCAGACAACCGTAGACTTAGGTTTCGTGTTTTTTGGTAGTCATCAGTCGTAGGAACATCCATATTTCCTCTCCTTTTTTTGCTCAGTTACTTTACCGCCAAACTCTTCTTGTTATGGAATAGGTTACGAGCTGCAATCAGTTAGAGAACCACTGGAAAACCTGGGAGTATTGGACAGATGTTTCATTCTAGTTTGGGACTCTTCATTATTGCGCATCCATCGGGGTTAGGATCCAGGACCTTCCGGTTACGAGACCAGGTCGTAAAACATTAAGCCACTGGTTGGTGAATCCCAATTTCCACCAATTCGTGATATATATTTAGAGCAACCGCCAGTTACTGTCACCGGCGAGTCTCTGTCCTATTGTTATAATTCACCATCTATAGGATTTATTGATATTCACGAATTAGTATCAGATTGGTAGCCATTTAGTTATTCACTCTTAATTATATTGATCCAATACTACCAATCAGGTGATCACACGTGTCTTAAATAATAATAATAAAGTTATTGATTCTGACACACAATGACACGGGTTGGAATCAGCTGTAGATAAAGACACTGATCAGCTGATTAGCCGTGGTGTATGACGCCTACGCACGTATACGCAGCCTACGTGTCTTGTGATTGGTGGATTTTAGTTTTGCTGACATCGGTGATAATCAGCTTTGGACTGCTGTTTGATAAATCCTCAAGATTACAAATATGCCTTGCTGTGAGAGAGGCGTCAAGAAGTACAACACTGAAGTTCAAGCCGTCATACTGATCATTCTATAAGGATGTATCACTCAGCGTATTAATCATTATTGTTATTATTATTATTTTTGTTTCCTTTAGTTCCTAGAGGAACATAGGGCTTCATCCTCACGTCTCCATTGCGTTTGGTTCTGTACCGGTGTTTTCACCTGGCTCCACGTCTGCCCACATGCTTTCATCTCCTCGTTACATGACCTCCTCCATGTTACCCTCGCATTGACGACCAACTAACTCCCAGCTTTCCATTCGGCTTCCATTCGAGCTATGGCCTGGCATAAGATGTCACTCACTAGATGGTTTGTTTTCTCAGAGTATGACTAATCCACAATTGGTTCCTGCTTGGTTGGTTCATTCCCAGAGATCCCTGTTGCTGATCTTTTCTGACCATCTAATCTTGAGTAGTAATCATAATACACATTAATCATAATATCGGTGAATAGGTTCCAGTCAACACAACTGAGACCAGACAACTGAATTGGCTAGGATATCTAACTGTCACTTTCGTTATACAAACAACCTTTGCAATATTACCTAATTGAAAAAGAAGATATCGGAATATAAGTTTAAATAAAATTGTAGGTTTTGGATAGCAATCAACTAATACATAAAGTACCGATCAGTTAAGTGAAGTAAAAATGAAATTGAATACGTAAATTGAGTGATGTAATATAATTGACACGACTGCGTAGAACCCACCTGTAAGACTAAAAGAGGATCAAGTTAAGATCAATGTCATCATTTGGAGTATAAATGTAATGGTGAGAAAGGAGTCGGTGGCATAGCGATAGGATGCTCGCCAACCACGCCTCATGTGGTTCAGAGTTCGATCCCCGGCCACCGACGCACTCCTATACCTCGCTTATCCAGTAATAAGATTGGTAAAGAGAGTAGGTTGGGTATGAGGCTAGCAACCCTATCCCTTACAAAATAAACACCATTGCTGCCGAAACTTCAAACTTTAAGCTCTATGGGAGCGTAAAAGAATTAAAAAAAGTAGGAAAGGAGAGAAAAAAAATCATAAAATGAAGATCTACACATCACTGAGCGTACAATGGATCTCATTTGACTGAACATTTGATGTGTAATTCCTTTAAAGAACAAACAGTTCAGCGACGAGTCTCTTTTCGGCGGCGAATTCACTCACTTAGCTGTACAATATGCAATCATATATATAATTATTTTTCGCATATGTGTGTGTGTACATTACGTTTGTCCGTCAGACAAGAATAAAATTAGTTAGATATGAGTATAAAACTTGGGCACTGTGGTAGAGTATAACTCCATTATAAGATTTTATTTTGATAAATCACACAGTGTTACACAGTAATATTAACTGATGACGTTTGTGCTCGAAACGTCATCAGTTAATATTACTGTGTAACACTGTGTGATTTATCAAAATAAAATCTTATCTATAATAAAATTAGTTAGGGTTATTG